ATTATTATTATTTTTTTTTTTTTTGGTTAAGGCTTCGATAACTGAGGTCATTAGCCTGTGAAACTGTAGTTGAGGGTACAGTAGTTTTTGAATACGTGTGTGTTTGTTTTGGCAGAATTTTTAAGTGGGCACCCATAGGTATCTGTCATGCCCGGGTGGGGATGGCGGCCTCTCTTCGAACACCGTGACTGCCCGAAGAAAAATGCCGCCCGTGGCCGAGTTCAAACCGACGACAGTGCACGTCGCAACCGACGCCTTAGGCCACTCGGCCACTCCGACTCCCCAATATAATATTATTACCACCATAATGTTTAAATAGATCGCAAACGTGTATATTTATTGTATTTTTTTGTGCAGATTTCATCCAACCAATTTGTTTGCCAAACCAATTGGATAATATGAAGCATGTCGATATGACGAAACCTGTGCCATTTGTTGTTGGCTGGGGATCCACGCAAGAATTGTTTTTTTCCAGTAAAAATACATTACAATTTCCATAAACTATACAATCTAACATTAATATTATTAATTTCGTCTATAACTTTGGTTAGTTTTTAATTTAGTTTTTACTATTTAGTAGGAAATACGATTTAAACTATTATTAGCTCATCGTAATATCGTGTATACTTTTTACTTAATATAATATTAAAGAAAATAATTTTCATATATTATAAAATAACGTTTGACCATAATATCGAATGGATTTTGCTGGGATGTTTGTTCATGGGTTATCTTCAAATATCATTAAAATATAATAAATCATCATGTATCATAATTTATAAATTATAATAATATAATAATATAACGATTGGGAAAAAATCAATCACAATATATTGTAGTTTATGTATTTTAACTTATATTTTAATATTTTTAAATATGTTTAGTTGATCGTTTTCATTTTTATGATTAAATTAAAATAATTGAAACTAAGAGTAAACTAAAAAAACTAATAGACCATACAATTATATATTGTATCTGATGTTTTTATTTACAATTTACTAAACAAATATCTTGTCACCTATAGTATTACGTCAAAATTATCAAATCGATGTCTATAAAATAAAATTACTGTATTTATTCAGATGAACAACGCAATACTGCTATGATGGAAGTTCAAATTCCACTAACGGACATCTCGAAATGTAAAGAAGCGTATTCCAGTGGATACAATGTGATTGACGACCGAGTTCTATGCGCTGGATACCAGGAAGGAGGAAAAGACTCCTGTGGGGTACCTATTTGACTTTTTGATTTGTACATATAAAAGAGGTATATGTTCGTCTATTTATTTCCAATTGATCTCAGGGTGATGCTGGAGGACCTTTAATGTGGCCAAAAGGTGACCAGTACTATTTGATGGGAATAGTTTCTTATGGATTTATATCGTGTGGTGAACCAAATCAACCGGGAGTCTATACCAAAGTCACCTCATTCGTCGACTGGATCGTAGAGAAAATAAACAATAACTGAGTTTTATAAATTGAAACTACCAATTTTAAAATTGTCTATCAACTTGGTTAAAAGAAACTATCAACATTTATCTGCAGTCTATAGTGCGGGGTAGACTCTACACGATTATACCATGTAGAATTTAGCTGTGGACTAATATTTTACCTAATCTAGTACATAATTTATTATACTATATATTTTAGCATTAACTTAATTTATTTTATAACCACATGACATAATATATTTATAACAACAATAAATTTATATAATAATTTGAATTTAGAATTTAGATTAAAATTTGCTTATGTATTTGAATGATAATGTTTGTTCATTGTTCAAAAATGGGTTTTATATTTAAGATTCAAATTAAATTAACTTGAGAATAGGAGGTTTTCGATTGCTTGAGATGGATAAAAACAATAGTTATATGTAATGACTGATGACATACCATAATACATTAATTGTTAAGCTCGTCACGTAACATAGAAAAACGAAACGTTCTGTGACTGTCGGTTTTCAGTGCATCTCTCCTTGTACCGACCAATTTAAACGGTACACTTTTCTTAAGGTTTTTTAGAAACAGTTTAACAGTTGTTGTGTAAATTGAGTCGAGTGCTGTTAGACTATTGAAATGTATTGTACTGTAATGTAAGTGGAATTATTATGTATCAGTATGACCGTCACCATTTCCAATAACACACCTCAGCAGCTATCAAGCAAAACTCATCTGCTGCTAAATATCTTTAAAAAACATAAAAATTATTAAACAATTTATTTGTTTGTTTATTTATTTAGTTGTTTTTTTAGTGTTGAACCAAAATTGTTTGTCCCGTTTTTTTTTTCTATAAATACCTATGATATTATGGTCAGTGTCATCCTACCACAACATAATAATATTTAAAAATAAAAAGTTGCATTACGTCATTCCGAAGACTAAGTATGCGGCGGCCAACGTCACTCATAAAAAACAGGTTTTGGATTTTATAATATAATTCTATGAATGTGTGAATATTATTATCTTGATCACTACAACACCAACACGGCAAGGCAGTAACAGCAGAAGTGTTCTACAACTTTTTTCACACATTTTTTTGGAGATTTTCTTTATATGAACTTATTAACAATCGTAACACTACCGATTTTAATTTTAACCGTGAGAAACCGTTGCAGTGGCATTATGACTTATTTTTATAGACATAACCTTGTGGATATATTTTTATTTTTCGTTATAACACCGCCCTGTGTCAGAAATTGTATTAAGAAAAATAACTTTTATAATGGGATAATCAAAAAAACGAAGGACGAGTACAGTAATTAAAATCAGGTTTGTAATGTCAAGTTTAAGGTATTTAATATACATACTGAGAACAATTTTCTCTTATACGAAGAAAATTTAACTTGAAAATAATCGGCATTTCGATTGCTACACATAATTTTTTACCATCATAATTTCAAACGTAATATATGTAAGAAAAACTAGCATATAATAATAATAATAATAATAAATTGTATTTATATTATCTTAAGTAAAAATAAGTTAGTATGTCACAAAAACTGGCGAGTTTTACATAGGTACGCAGTTTTATCAGGAAAAATAGAAATATTTCAGTTTTTAGAAAAATTTATAATATAAGTAATAATTATTTTTTACCAAAAAAACACAATTTCAATTTGATTAGTTGGAAAAGTTATCATATCATATATTATAGAATAATAATAATAAAAAAAAAATATTGTTTTTTAGATTAAATTATTATTAAAAATTATAACTTAAATTAAGTTGTATTATTAGTAAGTTAAACCACCAACTATTATAATAAATAGGTACATAAAAATTCTAACAAAAAACGAATAATTTAGTATTAACACAATATTTCTACAAAGCAGCTGGTAGGTATTACGGTATTACAGATAAACGTTACAATTTATTTTCTAGGTACCTGCAAAAAGAAGTTTCACTTCAAAAATTATTCAAATATGTACCTACCTATTTTGATCTAAACATTTTCATAGAACTGTTATAAACTGAACACATACGATAACTTGATTCACTAGGTTTATAAATGAAACGATATAATGTTCACTTGGTAAGTACATGTCATGACGTAGTGCCTTAACGATTTTCAATACCAATAATTACACTGATTACTGATTAAGGTATCTACTAATAGTATAAATTACCCATATATAGTTGAATTTAATGTTTTATTATTTCATACACATTATATAGGTAGATAGGTACTATATTTCAATCCGCAACTAATTTATTCATCTCTAATTGTTTATGATTGATTGATTTTATCGATACAGTTATTCCAACAATATAATCTTACAGATTTTATATTATTCTTGATTATAATAAATTACGTTTCAGAATCATAAATTACGGAGAACATAAACAAGGAAATGAGTACCGATCGTTTAGAGTGTAATTTTTCCTCATTTTATTTTGCTATATTTATAATTTATATTTCGTAGAGCTGAAAATTAAACACAAGGTTAATACCATGGTTGAAATACACAGGTTATTGCATATTGACTAGGATTATTATCATCAGAAACAAAATGGCTGCGTAAAGGGATATCACAAATATAAATTTTTCTTATCATCAAAAACACGCTGACAAAAGCTAACAAATCCAAAACCCCCGAGAATGTATATTTGATTATTATTGGTTCCCTTTAAGCTGCCATTTTTGTTTAATCTAGAAGTGGTATAAATGCAATAACTTTGTACATTTCAACCATGGTTAATACTTAATAATATTGGTACTGCCAATAATTATTCTACTATAGTTAAAATAGTATTGAATAAGGACTGCGGTCAGATATATTTCATTTGGAAAGTTATAGGCACATCACATTTAAAAAGACTGTTTAAACGGGTTCAAGTGCAGCTTGATTTACTGTCGTAAATACCTATATGACTATGTGTCCCTTTCATAATAAATAAATAAAAAAAATTTGTCCAAAACTTAAATACAGATAATCGATTTCTCCCATGAGAATAGGTTACTACCTACTGTAAAATAAAATGTTTCATGTTTAGTATAATAATATGCTAATGTTGGTTCCATCATACACTATTAATTATAGTCATAGACTCGCAGCGAAATGTCTAAATAATTCAACCTCATAATGTTTTAATATAGGTACCTATTTAATATTATATTATTTTATTTAATTTGTTACCTTTAGGACTCTACAGGAGTAAAACCATATTATAAAAATAAAAGAATATTGAAGTTGGTACTGAGGTATTATTAAATATATTTGAGAATTCCGAAGCGGATAACTTTGTGAAGATAACATTTATTAGGTGTTATGGCCACATGGCAATTTAATCATGTAATTATTTCTCCCCTCTCTGATTATTCATAATTGTATTCAAATTAAGATTTCAAGTTTAACAACCAGAAAAATAGTATCACCCCCTCCAAAATGGCAGTGTTAGGTACAAGGTGTTCATGTACACTGATTCGCCCATAGCTGTTTACAATAACGATGGTCCGTCATAACATTTCAGACGGCGTTCTTCGAAGCAGTTATAGATGGTTATTCACATTATAGTTTGTAATAATTATATAATAATTCATTGATTTTGGCTTGTCTGATTACTGTCTATTGCCAACAGACTAGATGCCCATCGAGAAGTATACAAATACAAACGTCAACATCGTCCACGGAGGAGATGCATCTGCTCGGGTATCTTATATTCTTATTTATACTGTATTCTACTTAAGTCTTAAATATGCGTTGATATATTTCAATAAAATAATAAACAAAGGCATCGTGTCTCTTCGAATGAACAATGAAAACGAATACCTGTGCAAAAGTTTCTATACTGTGGAAAATAGTTTAAACATACATTTAGAAAATGTAGTAAAATACCATACCAGATACCTAGGCAGTTAAATGTCATTAAGCTTAACGTTTTCAGTATATATTGATTATTATTGATTAAGTATAAAAATTGAGTGAAAACGTATGCAGATGAAATTCCAAATTAGCCTTATATGTTTTATATTTTTCATTCTTATTTCTGTTTAAAAATGCATAATTAACAATTAAAAGATTAATTTGAATTTATGAGATGAATATATTGGTAGGTAGTATAGAAATATCAGGAAATGTGAATTAATGAATTAAAAATAGTCTATTAATAGTCAATTTATCATCATACTAAATAATAATATTATACTTAACAGAATAGATAGGCATTATCACAGTTTTTTGTTACGCACTATCCAATCAAACATTTCATAGCTTCGCCTTACCTTTTGTCCAATTCGTATAGTTATCCAAGGTTTATAGATTATACTCTATAATCTATAAACCTTGATAGTTATCTACTTATTAGGTATTGGATAACATTATTATTTTAAAATTATTCATGGAGAAAATATTGACCAATCAAAAGTGGAGTCGTTGGCCGGTAGTTGTTGAGACGATGCTCATAAAGTGATAATACCTACCTAACAATTTTGTCATGAAATTTTAATTTATATTTGGGATTCTACTGTCTTTATCGCTGTATACTAATTGAGTCCCAATACACGAATGGGGACAAAAAAAATAATATATTAATTTAGTCCTAGGATTATTTTGAGTAAAATAAAGCATAATATAATATGGAGACGACTAAATTATAGTCGTATAAAAGATATCGCTTTTATAATTTTAATGGCTATATAATACACGATATGCAGATAGCATATGTACAATGTATATCACTTAAATATTTACAAATATAAAAATGCAATTAAAACATCACATATCAACATTATTTATTTATTTATTTATACATAATTACAAAAGTAACATATAAATTAAATATATATTAGGTATAATATTATACCTATACATTATTATACTCTAATAAAATATTTAAAAATAATATTACCCATATGGACCTATGGCTCTCAAATTTGGGGTAGCTCCAAACCGTCCTAACTACAAGCCATCCAAGCATTCCAGTCCATATCCCTCCGTCTCATAAAATCTGCCCCATGGTACGTAACAAATAATACACTTCACAAGGACTTGAAAATACAAACTGTCGAACAACTAACTAAACAATAATACACTAAATTTCACAAAAAATTACATCTACATCAACATTTTCTATGCCTATCATCTCGTACCTACACTTCCTGACAATCCCTCTCACCGCCTTAAAAGACGCTAGTGTCGTGATCTTTAACGGTTAAAATAAAAAAAAAAAATCAATAAATTATGTTTAATTTAAATCTGAAGGGTTCTATTGTATTGTATTCTTTGTACATATATCACATTTACTTATTGTGTTTTATTAATACAGATTGTACATTTTCTAAAAAAATAAAAAATTATATTGAAATAAAAAACATTTTAACCATACCTGTAGCATTTTTTGTTACAGACAGTCCTAAGTCTGTAAAAATGGGAAGGAAGATGTTTTTTTTTAAAAAAAAACGTTAGATGGTTAATATTAATACATGAACTCAATTTGTATTATATTTAAAATTACACTTCACTACCTATTTTAGTATATTTATCAATTCGTTCTAAAAAATTGAATCGGGACTCAATTTGTATGCAGTCATGTATATAACAGTAGTTTTTAATTGGGTTATAAAATGCATACTTCATAATATAAATAATTTTAATTTACAGTTTTAATATGAGGAAAGAACAATGTTTTATTTTCGTGACCCTCATGATCGGAATGATAACGTCTCTGCCCTGTAACGGTGAGTAATTATAGCCAGGGCCGGCCTAAGGGGGGGGGGCGTGGTGTGCCCCGGCACCAGGCCCCGCGCTTTGCAACTTTACCTTATCAAAATTACTATAACAACAATAATTTAAAGTGTATAAATGTATTGATATTAACTACTGTGTGGTACTACTTTAGTATTTATAATCAATACTTAATGCTTAATGCTTATAGTTGATAATCACTATAGGACTATTGACTTTTATTAATTTATTATTGAGTTTGAGTATACTAGATACTACCTATTATTATGTTTATTAAACCTATCAAATGCAGTGGTGCCCAATAGGCTAGGTACTGTGAATGATGCGTAGTTAATACCTAATCAATAATTTCTCATAAAAACTGTTTTTCTCTATAAGTAGTAATACTGATTTGCTTAAATTATTAAGTTACAATATGGATAGAATAGGTTGATCTATAAATATAAGTACAGCTAATTATTAGGTTATTTTATTTGTAATTTGTATAATATCTACACCGTCTTTTACGTCTTATCATGCGGGGACTTGATAATATGGTACCAATGTACCATTATTATTTTATTTTGAGAACCCTCGACGTTATTGCCACTAGCGAACTGCGAACACTTATTACGTAAGTAATTATTTTTATTATTAGACTATTAATTTCTATATAATTATAATATATTTATATATATTATATTATTTATTTTATTTGACAATTTATTATTTAGTAGATTTGAGTGTCTTATTATTCTGAATTGGTAGGTATTCATATTTATTATTAATGCTATCAAAACATTTTTTTGTCAAGTTTTGTGATCTTGGTGTAAATCAATATAAATTCGAAAAAAATACTTGGTGGGAATGTGTATAGTTAATCAGACTGCCTGCCTATGTAAGACTGACATTTGAATTGTCGTTGTTTCTTCGAAAATATTATGTGTACGAATGAAAAGTGTTCGAATCTTATATATTAGAAAATTTAAATGTTCGAATACTATGTGACATGTGTGAATGAATGGGTCTGAATTAAAAGTGTTCAAATGTTACCTGTTAGAAAATTTAAATGTTTGAATATTATTCTTATTTTAGAATCAACAAAATGTAATTTTTCGGTATAAAAATTAATTATTGTTATTATTATTTATAATTCAATTATACAATTAAATATGATATTATAATACACTTACACAATCGGTCAATCGGAAGAAAAATGTATTATTATTATTTATAATTCAACTTTACAATTAAACATGAATACATGATATTATAATACACTACACAATCGGTAGTCCAGTAAGCGTAACAAATTCATGAAATCGGGGGGGTCTTATTCATTAAGCACATTTATTTAAACCATTATTAATACTATTGACCGAATCGTGTGCCAATAGCCATTTTGTATATTTTGTTAAGTGTTCAGGAAGAGGACTCTTTCATAAAAAAAATTATTTCGCACCAGGCCCCGCAAATCCTTGAGTCGGCACTGATTGTAGGGTTTGAAAATGTCAAGAAATATAAAATTGTGAAATATTTCATAATTTAAAAATATATTTTAATAATAATCTATGTTTACCAAAACGTGTCATTAAGTAGCGATTGTTTTCTTTATTATTGCAAACATTATAAAATTATATAGTATATTTTATATGTGACAAACATATTTTGTATTACGAATATAGTTTACTTCAAGATGTTTACTTCAAGATGTTTACTTGCCATAATTTATAAGGAATTAATATAAATAATAATGATTCATATAACATTAAATATAATTAAAAGTTTGTTATCGATATATCAGATATACATTATACTTACACATTATAATTTGTAATATATTAAAGTTATAAAAAAAAGTCATCCAAGCCAATATTGTAAAACCTTTGTAAAAAAAAAAAAAATAAAACGATAAATTCCCAAGGCCTCAATAAAAAAGAAAATATTTATAAAATCATATTTGATAGAAACAATTAACAAATAATAGGTACTTATTAGTTACCTATTAGTTATTAATAACTAAATAATAAGTATAATAATATTAAAAGGAACATTGGTCACTTTTTATGATTTTTGGTTAATAGGGTTCGGTATTATATTCTTTCTAACTAAAACTAAATTGAAACTTCAAAAACCAATCTCCCCCCCACGCATGAGATTAGGTACTGTAATAGATATAATATAGAGGTTTAATTATTGTCGAAAAATATTAATAATACAACGTATATAACTATATAAATACCTAATAAGTAATAAAAACATAATATGATTTAAATCAAAAAAATAAAATGTGCAAAAATCGTATATTTTCAGATTCAACTGTACTAGTAGGCAAAATAAAGTTAACCGCTTCTAATTTAGAGTTTGCATCAACAAAACCCAAGGATAAAATTACTATAAAAGAAAATAGTAACGTTACATCATCTAAATTGACAGCACAAGTCACATGTGGCAAAAGAATGGCCCCCAATTTTCGAATATTTGGAGGAAGTGAATCCCAATTAGGTAAGAATATGTTATAGCCATAGATTTCAGATAAATTGTATGATTACATTTAGGTACCTCCTATAATATAATATACAATTATTTAGTATCAAATTTAATCTTTAACCTAATCTTTGTCTTTATTTTCGAGTTCTCAGGTGCTTGGCCATGGATGGTAGCCCTAGGATACAAAAATTCACAAAAAAAAAATGATTCTATTGAGTGGCGTTGTGGTGGTACATTAATTTCTAATAAACACGTTTTAACTGCCTCCACATGCGTGGCCAACACCGGGCCAAACATATTGTAAGTAAATCAAATAGCTAAGTTCATAGTTGTAATTTCTGTCCATCCGTATTTTAAATTTTTAATTTGAGAATAAAATGTATTTGCCGTATAACACTTGTGAAACGATGATAAGTAGGTACCTTTTTTAAAATTATTTTTTTAATTTCTAACAGGACCGTGGCACGCTTAGGTGAGTTGGATTTAGATCCCATGGTCGATGACGGGGCATTACCATTAGATGTTCCGATCAAACGTATTATAAACCATGAGGGGTACGATTCGAAAAAAATCATCAATAACCTTGCAATATTGGTATTGAAAAATAGTGTTACTTTTAATGGTGAGTTTAAAAATATCATCAGATAAAATGTTTGTATTTATTGGACTATTGCCTGTCAGTCATTAGATCAGCTTTTCTCAACCTTTTTCCCTCACACTAATCCCAGCCCATATTTAGCCGTGGTACACTTGAATACTTTATACTGTATTATATATGTATATATTAATTTTAATATTAGGTTAAGTCATGTAAAATCCAGCAAAATCATAATTTCATTTATTAAAAATATTAAATTTATTGAAATGGAATAACAAGAATAACCTAGAATAAAATAACATTAAAAAAATCTAGTCCTAGTGCAAAATTTCCGTTCAATTTATGTTTCCTCCGTGGTCGAATCTTTGACAAACACTCCCTCATGTCGTCTTCCGAGCAATACTGCAGTTATTGGGAGGGTTGGATGTGCATTTAACAGAGGCCCCGGGTTTTGATTGGCTCTTAGGATCTCATATACGATATTGCTACATAATGTGTAATATACACATATTATATTATTTGTTTTAATATAATAACAATAAATAATTAAGTCTTGAGTTTAGAGAATTCGAATTACGAGTACTTATGCGAGAAACTTGTCTAAGATTAGGTATATACCTATAGCCTATAGGTTATAACTAATAATTATTAACTATGAATTAATGGTGAGAAAACAATATTTTTTAGAGTTATATAATAAGGTTTGACTATTTTTCACTTTTATTACCTATCAGGCATCGGCCTAAACATTTTCACATGGGCTACTTATTATCAAGTTGCGCTACTGCTTCCAAGTTCTATTCCCAACTATTAATTTATTAAGAATTCAAGATAATCCTCGATAAGAGAATCCTTTATTCGTTATCATAAAATTTGGCGGTACACCTATATGGAGGCCTCATGACACATCAATGGTGGAACACCGGTTGGGAAATTGGGAAACTCTGCATTAGATATAAGTATATAACCATGGTAAAGGTCTATTATGTCATTGAAGATTCATGTACATTATTTTACATTATTTATTTTTTACATTATTTTTATCATAAATGTAATAAAATTATTTTGCTATACATAACATAACAAGCATCAAATAAAATACTAAATCTATATATATATAAATTAATGTATGTGTGTCTGTGTGTCCATATTACCATGGGAACCAACCATGGTTACCGTGTTTACCATGGGTTTTGAAGCTATTATAATAATAATTATTGGTTGCCATTGTTTTAAAATTGTTGCTATGGTAACCGTTATATTATAAAATAAAACATATTATTTATATAGAGTTGGCATTTTTAATAGGCAACGAAGTGCAAGGGATCAGCAAGTAGCTTATAAAAATGCATTCAAAATTAAAATAAATCTTCTTCGTAGTATTTATGGATTATTTTATTGGTATTATGTATTAAATATTAATTTATTTTTGAAGAATTGATCCAACCGATTTGCTTACCAACAATACTGGATATGAACAATGTCGAAAAATCAAAAAATATACCATTTGTTGTCGGCTGGGGAAGTATCAATGCTGTACCTCAAAAAAGTAATTAAAATATTATATACTTTCTATATAATTACATAGAAATAATTTATTTCTGAATACAGTCAAATATATGTAGGTATTTAATATGTATTAAATCACAGTTGGTATCAGTACCTAATAAATAGTATTCGGGCTTTTATTTCTTTTGAATAATTCATCAACTTAATAAAAAATATATATGTATGTCTTCATTTAGTGTACCTACCAAATTTTTTTATTTAGAAAACACATTATATTGTATAGAGAACATTATACTATTTTTAAGATATATATTATATTCCGAAAAATAGTAAATTGATTGTTATCAATAAAAGTGTATGATAACTAAACGTGGTTAACAAAAATAGCGATTTCTTTATAATAAAGTTTAGGAAGTAAGCTCGTTATATTTCATTATTTTATATTCGGTCGCTGCTATAATATACCCATATGTACTAAATTTAATGGTTACGTAAAGCTTGTAAAAATAAGTAATACTATTATTTAGATGAGAAAAATTCAACGTCCTTGATGGAAGTTCAAATTCCTATATCGAATATAACAGAATGTAAACAGACATATTCAAATTATAAAAGCGTGATCGATGACAGGGTGTTATGTGCTGGATATCCAGAAGGAGGAAAAGACTCTTGTCGGGTATTAAGTTTATTTTATTTTAGTTTTGTTAATTAATTTTGAAAAAGTGTTAAATATTATGTTTTTATACCAATTTGTTTTAGGGTGATTCCGGAGGTCCTTTAATGTGGTCGAAGAGAAATCAATTTTATTTAATTGGCATTGTTTCTTATGGTTTTAATGAATGTGGTGATCCAGGTCATCCGGGCGTGTACACCAAAGTAACTTCCTATATGGATTGGATTTTAGATAGAATAAACAACTAATGCAATCGTGTTATTTTAATATTAACAGTCATTTGCAATAAAGCTAAATGATTTATTCTGTTATTTGATTAATGGCAATAATAACTGTTGTCTGTATTTATGTATTGATAGTAGGTAAGTTAATAGGCACCTAATTAGTTATTACTTATTAACTTTAATAATTATTATTTCATTACCTAAATATGTTTTGATTAGTAGATTGAGTAATAAAATATATAAAAATGTCAAATTCCATAAAAATAAAACACTAACGTCGAATTGTTGTATCTTTTACGGTTGTAAATATCTTCATTTGTTGTGACTTAAAAAAAACCACTGTTTTTATACATAATATTTTAAATTAAATTATATACAATTTAAATGTAACCTATGTGTATAGTTATACAAACATAACATGTTGATTTTAACAATATGATTGCAAAAGTATATAAATACTGAATACTATGCCAATGCGTCGTCGCGTCCTTATATCCGTGCACACACACACACACACGCGCTCGGGCGCGTATACGCATCTTTGTCGTCGTTTATACACAGTGTGTGTGTGTGTGTGTGTGTGTGTGTGTGTGTGTGTGTGTGAGAGAGATACGAGTGCACGCTGTTTATCTCTTTTATACATATATGGAAAACCGGGATGCAAAAGAGTGGGCAAGTAGAAGGGCCACGTCGAGGAGTATATATTTATATACAAATATATAGCGGTGGCGTGCGTCGGTCCGGAAGGAAACCCAAGCTCACATCCTGTATGGCGACGGTGGAGACAACCGCAACAGCACAATATAAAGAACGCCGGCAAAAGATATTTCGCCCCAATCCATTTACGAATCGCGCGCGATTGTTTTAATAAAATCCACAGTCCTGCCCGAGATGGCCGACTTCCCCTTTTGTATACCAAATAATATAATAGTATACATATTATCACATAAACAACTGCTTGCACTATATATATACGCCCATTATATACCTATTACTTACGATGTGTTATAAATTATAATACTGTTCGACTACTCGAGTATGATGTTGATGAGCACGACGTTCATCAATGCAATAAATTAATTTTTGTATTAAAAAAAAACAACATAATTTAAAGTAAAATTTCATAAAAATACGTTTCTGCAAAAATCAATATTATTATCTTATGGTAGGTACCTATTTATTTTTTTATTTTATAGCAAAAAAAAAATTATTGTTGTAAATGTTGATATTTTGTAAAAATTTAGATTACGATATACCATAAGATATTAAGATCATGTTTTAGATTCTGAGCGGAGCGATGCAAATGTATTGATTTTACAATGTTATGTGTGTTTTTTTTAAATATTTTTTTTTTTTTTTTATCATCACCTTTTAGGACAATTAAAATGCTTATATTTTCTTCAATGGTATCTTTTCTGATAGGAAAATTAATCTAGTTGGTACTTTGAGGGGACAAAAGTAAAAAATTCCAAATAGTTTTCCGAAGCGCAGGGAAAAAGAAAAGAAAAATGAAGGAAAAACGGGAATTTTGAAGCAAAATCAATTTTGGTTTTTAGTTTAGTGTTTTTGGTTTTTTGGTTTTTACGGACATTTTGAGTTTCCAATTTTTTAAAGTTTTTTTTTTATGTATATCAATACAATTTTATTTATTGAGTAAAGAAGATTGAAATTTTAATATACAAGGCTCCTGATATATTGCTTAAATAGCAGTTGAAAAAAATTAAAAATATATATTTACAACTTTTTTTTATAAGCATTTTTGACAACGCTTTGCTTATCATCATAGAAACGATTTTTTATTTATTAACTTTAGTGAGTTCAGAGAATAATTTATTTAAGAGGGAGGGAGGCTATTGAGAGTGCATAGCCACTCCACTACTCGATTCAGCCTCCTTAGTTGAGCAATATGTCTATTTGTAATTTGTCGGTGGTTTTTCCTGTGTCATTAAATAACTATTGAGAAAGTCGAAAAATTACCACTCTAAAGTATCATCTTGATCCAATTTTCTAAAAAGATAAGATATTATGTTTAAATCGAAGCCCTCCTTCTGGTAGAATATGTTGTATACAGAATACAAAAAAAAATAAACACCAATGTAAAACCACCGGCTTCCTCGCCCCGCTCAGAATCTAATAATAATATTACAAATAATATTCAACTTACAGGCTATAATAAATAATAAAAATATACAATATCCAGACGACCAAACCGTCTCAAACTGTATGAAATAATATTAGAGTCTAAGTTAAAATTAATATTTAATATCCAACTATCATATTCTTATACATCAAGTATACCTACTCGTATTGAATCTGTTGGTAATATTAATATTATATTACAACCTATAGAAGATTTTGATGCCAGTACATATATACAGCATAATATTATATTTATTAGATAATTTGATTATAGAATGTACATTATAATATTATTAACGATACAACCTTAATGAGGGCTACTAAGCAATATTGACGGGGATTCTATATTACAGAACTATAATCTAAAATTGAATACTCAATAAAAAAATATAAAATTATTCAGAAATGTGGAAATATCAAAATATCCTTGGAGATCTTTACTAAACATCGTTCTTCTCATAAAATAGCAGTCTTTTTGGTTTTTTCGACGTTTCTTGTTGATGAAATGTTTTGGTTATCAGTCAAAGAGTCTAAGCATTCAATACAAGGTCCCTCGTGTGATTTATACACCAGTTACAACAAACCCAAATTCTACCAGTACAATATATAAACACGATTTCCACCAGTCACATAAATTAAATTTACACCAGCGTGTCGACTCTTAATAATGATATAAAATAAAAACCAAATAAATTACAAAGCATAAACGTTTATTAGTGTTAATGTATACACGATTACGGTTTTATAGCAATATTTATATATGTATATAGCCGGACACAAACTCTTGGAGCGAACTCGGGATGATCGTGCACGGTGACTTACTACACTGGCGCCATAAACGTGATAAGTGAGGGGGCAAACTAAAAAACTTTCAAACCGGTGCCCAAACACTCCTCAAAAAACTACCTATACACCTAATGGTGTATGTCGCTGTTAGCACCACAGCAAACCATTCGCCGAGCGAACCTCTTCACTCGGCTCCATAGTGAGCGACGTTTAGGTCTGGCGGCTGTTACTGTAGTTTCCATTTCTGCAGCATCTCCACGACCGCAAAGGGATACAATTTCCTGTAAACTGGCTGTCTCCAGGTCCAAAGGTTTTGTCAAACCATTTTTCGACTCTGCATCCCCAATTGACTGTGGTGCCACTTTCAGTATAGGACTAAACCGTTGAGGGTCGGATTCGACCGGCTTAACCAGTGGGAAAGTTCTCGAGACGGACAACATCGTGTCGATGTCGATAAGTTCTGCAGCGACGGGTGTCATTACTGCACTGTTAGTTGTTTCCGCATACAATGAATCCAGTGAAACGGTAATTTCCGTGGACGGCATAGCATCAGGTGCATCAACTTCGGCATTTGTTAGGAATGCCATATCGGGCATCGATTTACATAGTCTTTGAGCCTTTGAAATCTTGACACTACTAACGTCGACCGCTATCTGACGATTTTCACGTAGATCACTGAAAACTTGCATCATCAAAGCGGTTGAGGACTGCAAATCGATCTGAACGTCTTCGCTAGCGGAAATTGGCATGTCGGGTAACGATTTATATCGTCGATGCAGTTTTAAACTGCTGAGATCATTGTCTTGAAACCTTTTAGGGCGATTTTGCCGGAGATCGTCAAACACCTGTTTCATTATTTCAGCAGCGGACTGCATTTGGGCTTCGGACGAATTATTCACTTCTGTGATATAAGACATAATGATAATCTGATATAGGATAATTTCAATATATAAGACAATTTTTCACTGTGTTATAATCAGAGAATGATGTAAAAATATATTTACTGATTTAATAAGAACTAAACAGTTATACGCTGCCCATAGTTACAATATTTGTAATGTTTTTTTTAAAACCAGTCAGTGGGGCCCATTATTTTTTATAAAAAAATAAATAAAATAATAAATAAAAAAAAATAGAGTGTGTTTGTAGTACCTTCGTGCAGGGGAAGTAAAACTTTTTCGCAGTTGATCGTATGAGATGTGATGTGTAATAAAATATTAAATAGCATATTTGTACGTATTCGGAATCAGTATACCATTTTGTACATCTATAATATTATGTAAGTATTGTATATTAATTGTATTAAATTATGTATCGCTGTACACTGTTTGAATGTATAAACATTACATAATATGTGGTTTTACACATTATAATAATTCACATGATAATAATATAAATACTAATTTAATAATAATTATTTCAATATTTAAAAAGCTTATTCGTCGTAATGAGTAAAATTATAATTACAGTAAACTCAATTTGTGAATAAATAATATCATAATATTATGTGTATTTATGGCTGTGTACATATTTATTTAAATTAGCAGGGTAATATAACTATAGACTATAATATAATATAATATAATATAATATAATATAGACTCACTCGGACGACTAAGTCCGAAAATACAAAATATTCTATTAAATTGTCATTTATAATTATATAATGTTTTCAAGAAGTAATAAGTATACATTACAAGGTATGATAAAAACTAGTACCTAGCTACAGTACCTACTGTGGGATAACACCAGTGCTACGACTATATACTACCATGAACTTGTATTACTCCGAAAAAAAATTTTTATTGTCAATCATAATACTGCTCCGATATCAATTACTTCGAACATATAATACTACGATATTATATTATATTACTCCGACATATTTGGATCAAGTAAAAACCATGATAAATAATATTAATAATATAATTTATAAGTTATGTAACCAGGGCCGGTTTTTAAGGGGGGGGCACCGGTGGGCAATTGCCTGGGGGCGGCAAAATTATCTCAGATAAAATAAACAAAAAATTAATTTTTTTCGTAAAGAGAAAGTCAGAAAGATTTTTAAAAAAATGATATATTTTATTATTATTTATTTT